CCCTTCATTAATCACCCCGGGCTGTCAAGTTTCAGCATGTTAACACAGGAGTCCTTTCAGATAGCTCCTCCCTTGCTTGTGTCAAGACAATGTCCACAATCCATCTAGGCAGAGCTCTGGTGTTCAGGACAGCTCCCTGATCTCCCTGCCTCCCAGACCCTAGGCGGCTGTTCCCAGTCCTCCACTTTCTCCTTCCTGCTTTGTTTCTGCAGCTCTCTGGCTCACAGCAGCAGGCTCAGCTGGAATAGCAGCACCATTCCCTGTTTTGCTGATGCTTCCTCTGCTAATTCACTTGGCTTGCATTGACGCACGGAGAGCCCCAGGGTGCCTAATCCCGGAAGATGTGACATATGAATGAGCACCATCACTCTGGAGCCCCACTGAGAAGCAGAGTAGATTAGATAAACCACTTGCACAATGCGGAGGAAGCTCCCAGACGAGAGAACTCCGCGGCTAAGCTGCTGCTGTAGGCCTGTAAAGAAGAAGGGATTTGGAGGGAGTCAAACAAATCCCAGCTCTGCTGATTGCTTGTGCCACTTCAGGCAAGATGCTGAATTTGTCTAAGTTTTAGTTGCAATCTACAAAGCGGAGCTTAAAATGCCTAAAGCCTGAGTCTATGCCTTAAACGTCCGCATCACCGCCAAAAGTTTCCTCCCACCCTCTTTACTGATTATTGTGTGTACATCAAGAACAATTAACATAAGATTTACCCTCTTAGCCAAACTTCAATTCTATGATATAGTACCACTAAGTGTAGGCACTGTGCTAGCCAGAAGATCCTGAGGACTATGTACCTGGTCTAACCAAAGCTTTGTACCCTTTGACTAATATCTTCTCATTTCTCATTTTTTCCTCCACCCAGCCCTTGGAAACCACCCTTCCACTCTGCCTCTATGAGTTTGACTATTTTACATGTATCATAAAAGTAGGATCATGTAATATTTTCCATTCACAAGTATATACTTATATCCAGCCTCATCGAGTTGTATACGTTAACTATGGATGGGTTTTTGTATGTTAAAAAAAAATGGGCCAGGTGCAGTGGCTCACGCCTGTAATCCCAGCACTTTGGAAGCCTGAGGCAGGTAGATCACGAGGTCAAGAGATCAAGACCATGGTGAAACCCGTCTCTACTAAAAATACAAAAAATTAGCTGGGCATTGTGGCGCGTGCCTGTAATCCCAGCTACTTGGGAGGCTGAGGCAGAAGAATTGCCTGAACCCAGGAGGCCGAGGTTGCAGTGAGCCGAGATCACCCCATTGCACTCCAGCCTGGGTAACAAGAGCAAAACTCCATCCCCCCCCAAAAAAAGTAAACAGGAACATTGAATTTCAAAGTAAAATAAAAATTGTGAAAATGAATGTAAATGGGTTGAACAGACCATTAAAAAAAAAAATGCCTGCCAGCCGGAGTGGAACCTGCCTCGGTACATAAACGGGTTATTTTCCCTTCTGTTTGGTGCCACTCTTTTTAGATGTCAGAAGACTCAGTTCTGCCTCCAAGTGTCTGAGACTGTGAACAACCCACTGGCCGCTCTAGGCCCCAGTTCTCCCATTTAAAAACCTAATGCATTGGACAGCATTGTCCCCAACATGCTTTTTAGCACCAGCTTGCCTTTGAGTCTAAAATCCAGATAAGGCCAGGGTTAGAAGATGGCCAGAACTCTAGTTTAAAAGCCAAAGTTTTTCTGGAATCTCAGGAACACTTTGCCTTCTATTTGAAATTCCTGAGCTCAGATTTGCATGCCGCTGGCGCTGGATGCTCTGCGTTCAGGCAATGGGATGGCTTGTCACGCTTATATTAAGCTCACTGTACACAGTCACAAAAACGTATCATTTACATTTCTCATGTCATGAGTTGTAAGTCCTGGGAACCTTTTGAGGCCTTAATCAAAGACCAAGATGTCAGAGAAGAGGCCATATGTTTTAAGTGTCAAGAGAAAGCTCTCAGGCCCTCGACAAATGATCTGCTCCTCACTGGCTGATTTACTGTTAATTTCTGCAGAAACTCCGGCAGCTTGAAAGGGTGCCAACTGTTAATTACAAGGGCTCTGAGGTCGCAGCTGCATGGTGCAGGCTTTGCCATTTCCTATAGGCTTTACCATTTCCTGCAGGCCTGGGGTAGGGGAAACAATTGGGACCGGAAGGGCGGATAGGCTGGTGTCAAATCCCTCACTCTTAGAGGTTCTGTGCAGTGGGCAAGTTTCAGAGCCCTCTAACCCCCCTGTTTCCTATTCTGTAAATTTGAGGCAGTAACAGTAAGACCACGGGTCATTTGGGGGTTTAAAAATGATGAGCAGGCTGGGTGCAGTGGCCCCCACCTGTAATCCCAGCACTTTGGGAAGCCGAGGCAGGTGATTCACCTGAGGTCAGGAGTTCAAGACCACCCTGACCAACATGGAGAAACCTTGTCTCTACTAAACCTCGTCTCTACTAAAAATACAAAATTAGCTGGGCATGGTGGTGCAGGCCTATAATCCCAGCTACTAGGGAGGCTGAGTCAGGAGAATCACTTGAACCCGAGAGGCAGAGGTTGCAGTGAGCTGAGACCACGCCATTGCACTCCAGCCTAGGCAACAAGAGTGAAACTCTGTCTCAAAAAAAAAAAAAAAAAAAGTGGTGAGCAGAAGGCAGCAACGTAGGCTGAAGTCAGACTCACCTCGTAGACCGTGGTCTCCTGGTTACAGATACCTTACTGCTTACCTATTCTGTGCCCAATGTCCCAGACACCGAATAGACCTCATAAATATTTACATCTGGCGTGTGTTGCGATGTTGAATTAATTGCTCCTATGACGCACTTTGATTGCCTTGGAGGAAAGCTGTAATGCAAAGGCCTGTGATTATTAAAGGCACAAACAAGTCAGCTCACGGAAGCAGCGTCCTCAGGAGCCTTCCACTACCTTGGGGCTTTTCAAAGCATTGCCCACAACCTAGGGAAAAGGTGTTTCCAAAAGGACCCCAACCAAAAGTTGGATTGTGGCTGTGCAAAGACCTGGTCAGAAAGTGAGACCAGGCGTGGTGGCTCATGCCTGTAATCCCAGCACTTTGGTAGACCAAGGCAAACAGATCACTTGAGGTCAGGAGTTCGAGAACACCCTGCCCAACATGGTGAAACCCAATCTCTATTGAAAATACGAAAGATTGGCCCAGTGTGGTGTAGTCCCAGTTACTTGTGAGGCTGATGCAGGAGAATGGCTTGAACCTGGGAGGTGGAGGTTGCAGTGAGACACACTCCAGTGACAGAGTGAGACTCGGCCCCCCAAAAAAAAAAAGAAAAGAAAATGGGCAAAGACATGTACAGATAACTTACCAAAGAAGACAGATAAATGTCCCAAAACCTTTCGGCAAAAAAGAAATTCAATCTCACTAGTCATTAAGGAAGTGAAATGGGTAAAATGAGGAATCAAGTGCCACGTAGGCAAAGTGGTTCTAAGGTATAGATTTAAAGGTGGTGAGATACAGTGAGACGATCACACTCCATGGGTAAGACTATAAATTAATATAAATTGGTGCAGCTCATCCAGAAAGCTACTGAGCAATAGGCAACAAGGGGCCTAGAATGTTCATGTTATTTGACCCTCTTAATTGTGACTGATAACATGTCTCTATAGAAAGATTCAGAGATGAGGCTTAAAGATTCAAAGATGCAGGAATAATACACACGGCAACATGATTTTTAGGAGTAGCAAGAACCTAAATGCCCCTTCGAAATATGTGGATCAGGGGTCTCCAACCCCGGGCCACAAACCAGTACTGGTCTGTGGCATATTAGGAACTGGGCCGCACAGCAGGAGGTGGACAGTGGACTAGCGAACATTATCATGTGATCTCCGCCTCCTGTCAGAGTAGCTGCGACATTAGATTCTCATAGGAGCGCAAACCCTACTATGAACTGTGCGTGGGAGGGGTCAGGATTCATGCTCCTTATGATGATGACCTGAGGTAGAACAATTTCTTCCCTTCATCCTGAAGCCATCCTCCACCCCATCCGTGGAAATAGTCTCTTCCAGGAAACTGGTCCCTGATGCCAAAATGGTTGGGGACCACCGAGGTAGATAATCAGTACCTTGTTTTTGAATAACATTTGAAGATATAGAATGTATTTGTAACATCAAACTTCTACACATTCTTTTATATTATTTTTTCAAGAGATCTTGCTAGGTTGCCCAGGTTGTACGTGAACTCCTGGGCTCAAGTGATCCTCCCGCCCCAGCCTCCTGAGTAGCTGGGACTACAGGTGTGTGCCACCATGCTGGGCTCTTTTATATTAAATTTATACTGATAAAAGAAAAACTTCGCAGAATGGAATTTAAAGGAGCTTAATTGAGCAATGAATGATTTGAGAATCCGGTGGCCTTCTCAGCAAGAGGAGGCTCAGAGACACCAGTGCAGCCACATGGTGGAAGAAGATTTATGGACAGAAAAACGAAACTGATGTATAGAAAACGGAAGAGAGGTGGTACAGAAACAGCCAGGTAGGTTACAGCTCAGCGTTTGCCTGATTTGAACAGTTTGAACCGTTGGCTACATTTGATTGGCCAAAACTCCGTGATGGGCACAAGTGAAGGCTACTGTCCGTTTACACCTCCACTTTTTATAGTTCATGATGTTCAGAGAAATCTTTAGGCAGAACTTAAAATATGTAAGGAGGCGGTTTTAAGCTAAACTTGATTTAACAACACGTCCATGTGTTTAAATGTATGCATGCACCTTCAGGTACGTACGTATGCAGCTATGTACATGGGAATAACCAAAATATAATCTGTGGTGTTAATTTTTATTTTCTTCTACAGGCTATTTTCTAGAAAATAGAAATATGTACAATATTTCTATATATAATAGAATAACGTGTGACTTCAGGTCTATGATAGAACATACATAACGTAACTTCAGAGGCTGACTTGTGCAATGACCCTTGATGGCTGCCTGTTCCTATGTGGGGGATGGTCAGTGGAGGCAGAGCAGTGGACACTTAACTTGGTTCTCTTTTCTGCCCTAGGTCGTGGCCTCACCTCAATAGTGACACAGGTGAGTTGGGGCTCTCTGTCACCTAAGTGGTGGGAATGGCAGCAAGGGTCTGTTGGGCTGTTATTTCCATTTTTTTTTTAATTTCAATAAAACTATGGCCTATTCGAAATGACATTAGCTACTAATGCCATTCCTTCCAGTTGCCCCAGGGCGCGGCCTGATCTGTGACTCTCGCAAGCTTTGGAAACTGGCTGGCCGGATGGGGATCCTGGCTCTCTACTTAGCTGTGCAGCTTGGGATGAAGCACAGATCCTTCTGAGCCTGAGTTCCTTCACCTGTGTAATGGGTATAAGTCTACCTCAGTGCCGGTCCTGTGGCGACTCACTAGTTTACCCCCAAATATGGGTGGAAAGAATGAATGGTTCAAAACCCAGCTTTGATGCTTCTCCTGTATCTCTCTTCATAGCCTATCTGCTGGTACTAGACACTTAAAAGGAGCCCATTAAAGTTTGAGTAAAAGTATGTACTATTCATCCGGGAGGGTTATTATTTCAGGGAAAGTCCCACAGAACTTCCCTAGAAAGCTGATGTCTACAGATGACTGGAATGGGGCAGAGAAATGGAGACATTGTCCAGAGGAAGCATGCAAAGAAGTGATGGAATTGTGAAGAGTGACGCCACCAGCAAAGGAATTTGCAAGTTTCACCCTAGAACACATTGGCACATATAACTCAGCATGTCCCACCCAGCAGCCAGGAGAACTAGGCAAAAGCAAAAGTGAAACTGGGAAATACGAGTTTACACAGGGAACGGGCCTCCAGCCTTAATCCCTCTTACAGAAATAGTTTTCATTCAGATTCCCAGTCAGGCCTAACCAAGGCTATGTTCTCTCAAGGTCGATGTTTCCAAATTGTGTGAGGGTCGTTAGTATCAAATGCACCTGTCCACCTACCTGCACCTAGCATCCCCTCCCAGCCTGCACTGGCATCCTGGAGGATAGAGAATATTCTAAGGGGGTTGTACCTGGGAATGAAGTGACTTGTCTGATGTGCTTGGTGACTGGTCAATCGTAAAGCACACAGGTAAAATAGAGCAGCTAGCTCCACCTGCCTGTACCCTCTTTTTTCCATCTTGCTCCTCTCCTTGGTTAAGACAGGGAGAAACACACAGATGGACATTCCTTTTCCTTAACAACAATCTAAACACACCATTAGGAAAAAGTGAACAAATTGAAACCCCACAAAAGTCCATTGAGACAAAGTCGCCCAGGCCAGCTCATACACACTCAAACGGACACCTTACTAAAAACAGCAGCAAAGCATGACATATCAGTCTGTCAGAAATGACAGCCCAACAGACTATGCATACTTATGAATCAGCGCAGGCATACTTACGAACCACTACAAATGTCTGCTCGAGTACAGCAGACCTGATATAATTAAGATATGCATGAGGATTTACAAAAAAGACGGTGCCTGACGGCGGGATCTATAACATTCCCAGATACTTCAGGTTGTTTCCAATTTTTTACGATGGGATTATTTGAAAACAGGAGAGGGCATTCATGTGAGAAAATACTATGGAGCCATTAAAATGATGATGATGAAGCATATTTATGGTCATGGGTATGTGGATAGCATGTTATTTTGTGAAAAAGGTAAAAACAGCATACACAGAGTGGTCATACATGTATAAACTGTGCAGTGTGTGGGGTTATGTGTGTGTATCAGTGACTTGACTATAACCAAATATTTGTATATTTGTATTATTTGTTTGCTAAGGTAACATTTTAGTACTGTTTATTCCCTTGTTTTTTGCATATCTGTGTCTTATAATTTTCTACAGAAGTGTATGTTTTTGTAAGCTAAAAACAATCTATCAAAAAATATTGTTTAGAAAACTATTCCAAGCCTGGGGAAGACACACACACTTAAACTGGGACAATCTGTCAAGGTCAGTACCTTCTCAGAGGCTGAGACACAGAGAACAGTGCAATGTTTTCCATGAAATAAACTCATGAGTTTTTCTCCTTCCACTAAATAAATAATGAAGTTGGAAAAGACGGCCCTATTTAGAAAGTGGGTCCTTCTATCTTAAGCCTCCACATATAATAAAAGCATTGATGAAGATAGATATTAGCTGATTTGATTTAAAAGACAAGAAATTTCATTTTGTCCAGGAAAATGTTACTTTTTAGTTTTTCTCAGGAAAGCAGTCTTCAAGGTTGATTTTTCCTTCTTGTAAAAGAAAAATTAATTAGGATTTTAGGACAAGAGGCAGACAGGCAGGTATAGAATATGTGAGCATTTAATGCCCCCTGCTGGCTGTTTCTAGATGCTGCAATGCCTGTATTTAGCGGAGGCTGGCATCCTCCTGGTTCTCTCCCCAAGGTGCTGGGAATCTTTGTGAACAGGAACAAATTGAAAAATGACAGTTGAATTGCTGGAACAAGCCAAGATTTTAAATCATCCCAAGATTGGTAAACCCAGGGATTAACATTATCTTCAAAATTCAACTACAACAGTTAAAAATCACAACAATTAAAAATGAATACTTCAGGGTTTAAGCTTTTTGGCCAGTGTATAAGGCCAGGAATCCTTACTTTTAACAAGATAGTTTCAATTCAAGTCGTTCTGGGCCATTCTTCTTTAGAATTGCTGGCTGAGGGTTAAAGAGAGAGAAAGAAGAAAATTATCCAGACTGTTCCCACCAAGAAGCTGTTCTCAATTCTCTAGATAACAAATGTCTCTACATTTTGTTTGAATTTTTAAGGAGCACTCAAGGAATGCGACGGAAGGCAGCTGCCTTCTCTATCACTATTCACCCATTCATCCATCCATCCATTCAACCAATATGTGGTAGATCCATATAACCAGCTTTGGGCACAGATGAAAGAAAGAAAGAAAGAAAGAAAGAAAGAAAGAAAGAAAGAAAGAAAGAAAGAAAGAAAGAAAGAAAGAAAGAAAGAAAGAAAGAAAGAAAGAAAGAAAGAAAGAAGGAAGAGAGAGAAAGAAAAAAGAGAAAGAAAACAAAAATTAAAGGTCCTGGTGACTCAGGTAGTCTGAGAATGTATTACTGTATTTTGTAGATAAGGAAATTAAGAACTAGAGAACAGAAGTCAATTTCCAAGGGCCACCTGGTGAGAACATTATGCCTGTTTTTCAAATTCCCATTCAATGTTTCCTGTGTAGCTATTTCTGTGAGTTTGGACTATTTGTGGCTTAGAATTATTAGCTCATAATCTTCAGATCAAAGAACTGCTGTTCAGTGAATAAACTAAAATGCTCAGAGAGCTAGATCACTAAGTCTCTCTCTCTCCTCTCTCTTTATATGTGTGTATGTGTGTATATACACACACTCATATATATACACAGTCCTGTGTCACATAGTAACAGATATGTGTTCTGAAAAGTACATCGTTAGGGGATTTCAATATTGTGTGGACATCATGGAGTGTGCTTACACACACCTAGACTGTGTCGCCTACCACATACCTAGGCCATATAGTTGTGCTTACACACACCTAAACTCTGTTGCCTACCACATACCTAGGCCATATAGTATGGCCTATTGCACCTAGATTACAAACAAAACATCCTCTACAGGATGTTACTCTGCTGAATATTGTAGGCAGTTATAACACAATGCTAAAAATGTGTGTATCTAAACACAGAAAAGATATAGTAGAAACACAACATAACTTACTGTAAATGGAGCTTGCGGGACTGGAAACTTCCCTGGATGAGTCGATGAATGAGTGGTGAGTGAATGGGAAGGCCTAGGGCACTGTAAGCCAATGGAGCCATTCTCATCTCTTCACTTAGGCTACCTTAAATTGATACAACTCTATTTTTTCTTCAATAATAAATTAACCTTAGGTTGCCATAACCTTTACAATTATAAATATTTAAAGTTTTGTAACTTTTTGACTCTTTCCTGATAAGACTTACCTTAAGCACAAATGCACTGTAGCATTTTACAAAAATGTTTTCCTTCTTCATATCCTTATTCCAGAAGGTTTTTCTGTATTTTTACTTATTTTTTTAATGTTTTAGCCAAAAACTAAGACACAAATGGACACATGAGCCTAGGCCTACACAGCGTCAGAATCATCAATATCACCGCCTTCTGCCTCCACATCTTGTCCACTGGAAGGTCTTCAGGGGCAGTGACAGGCATGGCGCTGTCATCTCCTAGAATAACAATGCCTTCTTCTAGAACTTATCCAGAGGGACCTGTCTGAGACTGTTTTGCAGTTCACTTTTTCTAATAAGTAGAAGGATGCTTTAAAATAACAATAAAATTGGCTGGGCATGGTGGCTCACGCCTGTAATCCCAGCACTTTGGGAGGCCGAGGCGGGTGGATTGCCTGAGGTCGGGAGTTAGAGATCAAACTGACCAACATGGAGAAACCCCATCTCTACTAAAAATACAAAATTAGCTGGGCATGGTGGTGTGCACCTGTAATCCCAGCTATTCAGGAGGCTGAGGCAGGAGAATCACTTGAACCTGGGAGGCAGAGGTTGCAGTGAACTGATATCACACCATTGCACTCCAGCCTGGGCAACAAGAGCAAAACTCCATCTAAAAAAATAAATGAATGAAAAGTAAAAAGTGTTATCTAGTAAACACATAAACTAGTGTTATAGTTATTTTATCATTATGAAGTAGTACATACTGAACATAATTGTATGTGCTAGACTTTCAAATGACTGGCAGCACAGTGGGGTTATTTACACCAACGTCACCACAAGCACGTGAGTCCTGCACTGTGCTATGACGTTATAATGGCTACAACACCATGAGTAATGATACGAATCCGATGAGTGGAGGAACCGCAGGGTCCTTAGTCTTGTGCCAAGCTGGTTAAAACGACACAGACACGTGTAGAGTCGTTTTAAGGAGTGCAGAGTTTAATTGGCAAGAAAGAAGGAAGGAAGAAGAAAACAGCTCCCTGGTTCAGGGACAGAGGAATGGGGGATTTGAACAAAGAGAAAACCTCATGTATGGCAGAAAAGTGGTTGCTTATATGAGGAGGCTGGAGGAGGTGGGGCCTGATT